ATAACCCCCAGCCTTCATACCAACTAACAGGGAGAAAGCAAATTATGTAAGACTGCAACCTCCCAGATGTTATTGGACTACAACTCCATCAGCCCTGTTGGAAGGGCAGGGTGGTGCTGATGGGAGCTGGAGTTCAGCATCTGGATGCTTAGAGTTGACCCACTGAAATCATGACTGACTGAAGTCCCACTGAGTTCAGTGGATATACTGAAAGTCTGGGGACGTCTGGTTACAACATGTGTCAATTTGAATCAGGGGTGGGCAACTTGTACCTTCCAGGTGTTATTGGATTCCAGCTCCCATCAGCCCCAGCCAAGATGGCCAATGTTCAGAGACAATGGGAGTTGAGGTCCAGCAACATCTGGGGGGGGCACAGGTTCCCCACCTGATTTAAATTTATACCTCCTTTTTCAGTCATTAGGACAGCTGTTTAAATCATGCTTGCTGCAGAAGAAAGAGGCAGTCACCAGCTTTGGTTTGCTGATAAGCCCTAATGAGAGTTTCACTGACTATCCCTTGTAAAAGAAAGCATCTCTTTATGAGTTTGTATCATGTTTTTTAAAAAAAGACAATAAAAGCAAATGCTGCTATGCTTTTCACTTATGGAGATGCTCACACTGCAATAATGGAGGTATTATTACTGTTTACTATCTGTGCATAGTTGTGCATGCATGCCACAATGTCATATAGAGAGATATAGGATAATTTGATCTAAATCCTACATCATCTGGCTCATGCCAATAGCATTTATCTCACTTTCAGGAGCACCTGAAATAATTGCAACATTATCACAGGTGCACACAGTAAATGATGTACACTATTCTCTAGTCTAGTTAGTTGGAGGAAAGCAGACAGATAGCAGGGCATGCATATGCATATATATATATATATATATATATATATATATACACACACACACACACACACACACACACACATATATATGTGTGCACACAGCACACAGGGGATAAAAGTGTGGAAATGGACCTATAACCATCGTGCAACCACAGATTACTGGGAAGCTTTCCTTATTGGATGGGAAAGGCCCATTAGTTGACAAGGGAGGAGCGCTTATAGCTCTATCACAGAGCCCATCCTTTGCATGCAGAAGAGATTGTGGTCTCTAGTTACAGATTTCCCCAGCAGTAAGCATGGGAAAAGTCTATTTCTTGAGACATTAAGGAGCTGCTGGAAGTCACACTAGACATGACTGAGCAAGAACCAATGGATAGGCTGAGTATAAGACACCCTCATATTGTTGCACCCCAATCCCTGAGTGGTGCAGGATTCCAGGGGTTCCAGACACTTACCCAGGGTTCATGTTTCCTCGGAATGAGGGACAGCGGAATCTGTGGTATCTTTAGGATATATGGTTTCTTTACACACATATACACCTGAGCCTACCATGGAGGGGTTCACAGCATTAACTTCCCAATAAGGTCTTGATTCTCCCATGGCCACAGCCTTGAATTCCAGCAGAAATCAGACATGGCTCTGACTCTTGGTCTTCCCAGCCTGCTGCCTTTGCTTCCAGCTTTTAGCTCACATAACTCAACTCTCCGCTCTGGCCTTTGTCTTGACCAGTGAGTTGAGGGACCAGGCCACTCATTTTCTGTCGGTCAAAGAGCCACTTCCTTTGTTACCATAATAGTCCATACTTAGAAGGCCATCACTTCACCAGGAAGCTAGCCTGGCTATTCCAGGAATTGAATCCATGCTGGACCCAGGAATTAGAAGGGTCTCAGACATACAGCCTACCCCACCACCAACTCATAACAGTTATGTTCCAATAAGCCTTGGGCAAGTTACTATCCCTCCACACCAGATTCCCATCAGCCAAACAGGAATTACGCCAGGCTGCATGCAATAAGGAAGCAAGTTACTACCTGCCTTGACAAGAGCCTGAAAAATAGGTATGTTATAAGTAAATACACAAAATGCTTTCACTTATCCATGCTATCGATATCCTTTTCTAATACACTTCAGTGATAAAACTCAAAATCCAATGCCACCTAGTTAAACCTGTCCTACCTGGTGCTGTTGTTTCCTGCCTTCCCCCTTTCCCCCTAGAGATGATCTTAGCTTTCTACAGCAAATGTATCACATCTAAAATCTCTCTGGTGGAGAGCATTTGAACATGATGCGGGGAGGAAACTATTTGAGGATCAGAAGTACATTTCCGAATGGTAGGTTGAAATGGCATTTCGGACATAATATGCTGTGTGAATGCTTTTTATTGTGCTCTCGAGAATACTCATTTTTCCCAACAATGCAACACCTGTTCCTGGCAAAGAAAGGTGAATGAGATTTGGTCTTAGGGAGGCAGAACCGCTGGCAGAAGGAAGCCAGAAACCAATATTCCAAGTCCCTTAGCACTCGACTTAGCAGGACTTCTTTCTTCAAGGCAATGCCCTCAGAAGAGTAGCCAGCATCCTCTCCTTATGGCAGTGAGCGCAGAAAGGCACCACAATCCCAGTAGAGGGAGCTCACCTCCTTAATCTCAGTGCTTATGAATACAGAGTGCATCCATCAGCCGTGAATCAGCACAGCGTTCACCAACCTGGTGCCCTCCAGATGTTTTGAACTTCAACTCCCACAGCTGATGGGAGCAGTGGTCCATAGCATCAGGAAGGCACCAGGTTGGCAAAGGTAGAACTGGATATATACAATGGAAGAAGAGAGGCACTTAATGGAACAGTAGGTGACCAGGGTGAGGAAAAACTATTTAGCAGCACAATCTTAGGCATGTCTACTCTCAGAAGTTAAGTTGTACATTCCATTAAATTTGGTGAGACCTGCTCCCAAGTATAAGTGCAGATGGGACTGCAGGCTTAATTGCCTGAAATCAAATGGTACCTCTGGAGGTGGAATTGAAATGAAGTGAGGCAAACAGCCTCATACAAAATGCTTGGGATCCTGTTAATACCTGGAATACTGATGTGGTAACAGGCACTTAGTTCTGCTGTTAGGATAATTCAATTAAGATACATGTTGTTGATAATTAACTCTTGAAGTCACCACTCAGTTTCCCCAGAGATGTGTTCAAACTCTAGAAGCTTTCCATTAGGAGTATTTTTAAAACTCCGTTTTATAAGCAGAGCTGCCACAATAGCATTTCTTCTCACACTGTTGGTGATAATAATTATTTCAGTTCTTATGAAGGACTATCATTAGAAAATAATCAGCAGCATTTCCTGCTTTCTTCACTGTATGAAACTGGCTAATTTGCAGCCCAATCCCAAACTTGAATATTAAGAAAATCAAGTCCCACTGGGCTGAACGGAGCTTACTCCCAAGTAAGAATAGGGCTGCAGACTTAAGATAGCATTTGCTTCTTTTCCCAAGCTGCAATTGTACTATTATGAAAATATTAGCTCAGCAGTCTGTCTATCATCTGTTTCTTTAACCTAAAATTCATTGTTAGGATAAGAAACTTTATCACAGCTTTCACAGACAATCGCTCTTCAGTACCTTACTCCTAGAAATAGCTTTCCTAGATCTCATCATTATATTCCCTGGAGAAATTATCTCTGTTGTCTCACGGCACAATATCTAAGTAGGCAATGTCCCTGGGAAGCTCCATTTTCATTAATTGACACAGTATAGAAGGGAGACAATTTGATTTCATTTAAGCCTCAGACCTTGTAAGAAATTATTTTCATTTAAGAAAGCACTTGGAGAACAATGAACAAGACTGAAACAAAGTACGGTAGCTACAGTCTGCACATCAAAGGACATTGTTTAGGATTTTTGCAAAAAACCAGGCTCCTCCGGCAAATTAGTAAGGCTGAAAGTCTCTTACTTTTATCAGATATGATTATAAGAGGCTGCAAATATCACAGTGGATGGGTGTCTCTCCAAAACCTTGCTATGGTAATGACTCTGGGATTTACCCATCACTTCATAGTAAGAACAATACGTTTCGCTTCACAGAATACACCTTATCAGTGCATGCAAGAGAAGAACATTGCAACGTGATTTGAGCTTTCTACAGAGAAATGGCCTTTTGTGTCACTGCTTCCTTTTGACACTTGTCTAATGATGCCATGACAGAAATATCTATAAAAAACTGTTTTCATTTCGCAACTGAAATAGGTATCATTGTAAACTATGTACATACAGCAACCTCCAAACTTCAAGGCAAATACAAATACTGCCAGATTGACAAAAGGCTGTAATGTTATCGCTATGGAAGTTTAAAACTATTTCAGTTCTACTTTTTTTCCTCAACCTGGGAGTATTTACTAAAAAGTTGCTGCAAATACGTCTATCTGCCATTACAACCTCCACCTGCACAGAGTCTGTTAGGGGTACTTTTTAACATCCCTAACTTTCGTAGGGATGGTTGCATTGTAAAACACACAGCCACACGCAATCCACGCTTTTCCAACTGCTATCTCAACAAAACGCAAGCAACATTTCTGTAGCAATGCCCTGTAGATTCAAAATGAGCAGAAATCGATATGTGGAACCTCCCAAACAGTTAAGTCATTGTAAAATCAGCATCTTTTATTGATTTCTTTATTAATATCACATTTAAACATTTATACAAAAGTCCAGTCCTCTGAATTCTGTTTTACGGAGTATTCCCCCACCTTACCTTCCTCCTTGCCGCCCCAACCCTCCCCCCACAAAAAAATGCTTCAGCAATTGTGCAAGTCCTTCATGATCACCATCACAACAAGAAGTATGTATGTAAAGGTTCTGGTACATACTGAATCACGTGCCTTGCACACTTTGGGAGAGAAAAGAGGCCTCACAAATACTCACTGGTGTGTGTGTGTGTGTTTTAAATTATTGACAGCCCAGCAATGGAGAAACATGGATGTATGTTATCCTCAATAGTCCCTGGAGGATTGTGGTGGTCTTCTTCAATGATATGTCCTCATGAAAGAGCCACATTTTGCTTGCTCTCTGTCTCTCAGGTAAACATAATTCTCAGCAAAGTTGTAACCCGCTCTCCAATCCAACCCCTTTTCTGCAGAAGGCATGCAGCCCATTCACAACCTTGGCTTCCTGAGCAAGGTTTTGCTGAGGTCCTTGACTTCTTCTGGGCCGTTGACTCTCTCGTAGCCTAGAATGGCCATGGGCTGGTGGCAATACTCCTCAACTTGCTTGATCTGCAGAAAGCTTAGCGCTGTCCTCCAGGCATTCACTGCCTGGCTAGCATTCCTGGCAGAAACCACAAAGGGCTTGGAAGAGTATCCAGGCCCACTGGTCATGTTGAGAGCAAACTTCTCCATCTCCGGGCTCACCGCCAGGTTGACAAACCCGTACACCTGCCGCAAAGTCTTGATGGGGTCCACTACCAGGTCCTCATAGCGGACAGCCATGTAGTTACCCTTCAGCCAGTCAGGCGGGCGCAACGCAGTTTGCAAGGTCTTGGCCATGCTCCCACAGATCACCTCCATGGCCCCTAAGGCGTGGTAGTCGGAGCCACCTCCCCCTTCCTTCTTGCTGTTCAGCTTGTGGCCAGCATCCAGGAAGGGCATGCGATGGATCCGGGGGTCCCTGCTCCTCACCACCTGCAGGCTCTCACGGATCAGCCCGTGGCGGGACTTGATCCTGGAGCTGGCCACTGCGCGGGGGTCCCGGACCAAGTGGATGACTTTGAGAGCCAAGGAAGGGTCTTGCATGAGCGGCGCCAGCACTCCGATATCGAAGACCCTCACGCCCTTGATGACCAGAGTGTGATACTTGAGGCACTCTTCCTGGAGGAGGTGCAGCTGCTGCGGAGGGCACTTCTTGCACAGCTTGTCGTCCACCATGCCCACCACTTCCTTGCGGTAGGCTGGGCAGAGCGGCGAGGAGCAGATCACTTTGTTGGTGGCCGCCCCGAAAATGCCCAGCGTGGTGAGGTTCTTCCCCGCCCCGGCCGTGCTGTAGAGCTGAAAGACGGAGAGGTCACATCGGTACAGGGAACTCAGCATGTCCCGCGCCGCGCCTTGCAGGGAGACGGCGTCGCCCGGGTACAGCTTCTGCCAGACGTGCCACACCGGCTCATAGAGGAAGAAGACCTCCGGGTTCTGGTTGAAGAGCTCCCCAAAGAAGGAGGACCCCGAGCGCCACGTGGTGAAGATGTAGACCAGCTGCCGCTTGCGGGCGAGGGGCACGGGGGGCCCGTAGAGGGCCCGAGTGTCCGACCGGGACTGGTAGGTGTAATAAGGCAGCTGCTGAGGGTAAGGGGTGCGGCGGGCGGGCGAGGGCTCGCTGCACTGCTGAGGCCCCTTGTGCCACTTATAGTCCAGCAAGTTGAGCATCGTCAGGAGCAGGAGGAGCACATAGCCCAGGCACAGCACCAGCGCCTTCCTGCGGAACACCTTCATGCCGGCGGAGGTTTGGAGCCAGGGCAGGGGAACGAGCCCTGCCAACTGTTGCACATCACAGGCAGGCGCTTGGGCCAAGGTGGGTCCGGACGCCCAGGGGCTTTCTCCCGGGCAGAGAGGGCATGTCCCCGTCTCTCAGGGAACCTGCTGTCCTTGGGGGCAGCCCCTCGTCGCCGCTGTTCTCCTGGGTGCCCACTGCACCCTGCTGGGCATGGGGCAGCTCCCCCCAGGGCTCTGTGGAAGAAGAAGCCGCTGTTTCCTTGCTACTTTCCCAAGCTCTTTTCTTCGCAGGACTTGGGAGCAGCCCCCTAGCGCCAGCAGATGCCCAGCCAAGCGGGCAGAGAGGAGGCAAAAGAGGAGGAGGAGGAGGGGACTGCTCTGCACCAAGTTAACGCATCATCCCAGCAAAGGGATGGTGCTCAGTCAGTTCCTCGGCCAGCCCGAGGAGTTTCCGCTCTGCAGCCCAAGCGCCAGGCGGGGAGCGGAGGCAGAGCCAGGGGAGCGGGGAAAGTTGCAGAGGCCCCCGTCGAGCCGCCGATCTCCGGAAAAGTGCATTGCGCCTGATTTTTGGTGGGTCGTTTTCCTAGGGGTGGGTGGCGGGCGCAAGCGAAGCAGCCGAGGCTCCCTTCTCCTGCGCGCCCGGCTCAGCCTGGGTCTCCCACCCGCCTGCCTGCCTTGCGCCGATGCGGGCTGGTCCAGGAGGCTCTGGCCGGAGGAAGAGGAAAGAGACGAGGCCGGATGCGGGGATCCGCTAGGGCGATGCGAACGGCTCGCTGGAGAAGATCCCTCCGACTCGCGTGCTCCCGCCGCGGCTGCCCATCGCTTCCAAGCGCCCGCCAGGCACTCGATCCAGTCGGAGGGGAGGAAGAAGAGGAGAAGGAGGAGGAGGAAGAAGAAGAACCGGCCTCCCTGCAGCAGCAGCAGCAGCAGCAGCAGCCGGCGGCGGCGTCGAGGTCTCTGCAATGCTCAGGCGGCGCCGCTCCATCGCCAGCCCATGGAGACTTTGGGAGCGAAGCACTTCTTTGCCCGCCAGGCAGAGAGCGCGACGCAATCGGAGCCCAGAGGCACCAGAGGCGGCAATAGCAGCGGCGCTTCAGCAGCGACGCCCGCCCGGCTCGCTTCCCCCTCTGCTGAATGGCCGAGGAGCTGCAGCCTCCAACGCAGCCGCACGCGCCCGGCCCCCGCGGCCCTCTCCGGGCCTTCTCATTGGATGCTGCGCCTGCCACTCCTGCCGCTGACTCCCCTGCCCCTCCCCTCCCTTCCCCGGGTCAGGGATGCTGCTGGGTGTTTAAGGCTCTGCCGCGGAGCCTGGCCGGCTGGCAAGGAAGGGCAGCTCTGCTCAGCTGGCTGCCCGCATCGCCACAGGGCTCCCCCTCCCGCCCGCGTGCCGCCTGCTCCCACTCCAGTCCGCCCCGCCACACAATCCCCTCCGTTGGGAGATGGGCGCTGGGGAAAGTTTTCCCAAAGTGCAGGCAGCTGAGCTTCTCTGCAAATCCCGAAAAGAATCTTCCGCGGCTGCTTCGTTCCAAGGAAACGCAGGCCAGCATGCTCGCGTCAGACAGTCCCGTTCTGTAAGGAATCCATTCAGCAGATTCCGCTTTTCTTTTTAGAAAAGTTTCGTCCTATTGCTGCTGCTACTCCTGCAAGACACCAGCATGAACAGCAGTAGACGTGTGGAATGTTGACACGCGTTTAAATCAGGTTTTTAATTTACCGTCGGTTTTAATTGTTATCGAATGCTTTAAATAGTTGCTTTTAATCTTTTTATTTGGGGGAGGGGCGGTAATTTCATTGTTGCGTTCTTCTTATATAAACAGCTTTGGGGTTTCCTTACAACCGAGCGGGATATACATTTTGTGAAAAACAGCCCCAGCAACAAAATCGTTGCTGTTTCTAAACAACCGTGTTAAACTCATGCAGGATACGATAGAGTCAGGCAGACAGGCAAGCTGAAAACGCAGAACAATTTCGTGCACACCTGCAAAAGATTGCTATGGGCACATTCCGGGGCGTGCTTGCACAGAAGTAAGTCCCACTATGTTGAGTGGGATTTCATCTCTGGAAAGAGTGCATATTATTGCAGCCTGAAAGATGTGGTATGTTCATGTACAAACGTAAGGAACTGCTGAGAGTGAGATGATCCATGAGGTGCTTTTGCTGCTTAGGAGTATAGGAAACTGCTATCTGCCAAGCCAGATCATCAGTCCATCTAGCCCCATAATGTCGACACTGACTGGCAGTGACTCTCCAGGGTTTCAGGCAGGGGATTTATCCAGCTGTACCTGCAGATGTCAGGAATGAACCTGGGACCTTCTGCATCCATGGCAGATGTTCTATCCCTGGGCTTCAGCCCTTCTCCTATTTAAAATGGGCCGGACAGCTATCCTAAGATTGCGCTTTTTGCCTGTTGCCCCCAGAAAAGAATCTTGAGGCACTTTAAAGGCTGACAAGTTATTTGAGGCATTGTGGATTATAGGACATTCCATAAGAGGCACTGAGTTGGCCGCAACGAAACGAAATACTTAGCTCCAGAGATGGTGGTGGTTGTGAACATTTTGAAAGATGAGACTGAAAAGTCAGTGCCGACATTCCAAAAGCAGAGGTATCTTATATTAGTCATTAAGTGAAGTAAACAAGAAACAAAGGGAAGATGTTCCCACACTGTAATATTGCATCCCTTAGGTTTTTCATGCAGCAGCTGTGTCCAACCCTGAATGCAACGCAATCAGGTCTGTATAGCATGTATGTGATAAGGGGATGGGGGTGGATAGGATTGGTCTAACTTAAAGTCCCACTGATTTCAGTGGGTCTGGCTTAAGTCTGGATCCAGCCCTTATTCATGTAGAACATCATTTTTTACATGCATACACCCACTCTAAAATTGCATCTTCCGGGGGGGGGGGTGCATCTTCAAAATACACACAAATCCAATGAAAGAGAACCCTTTGTGGTCCAAACTACATTGTTTTGTCTCTTTGAACTTCGGTGCTGCCTGGATACAGATATAAATTTCACCATATTGAAAAAGGAAAACCGCCTGACACAGGTATGCAAGATTATACTATTAATTCAGGCTATGCTTGCTGGAAAACAGTATGGATTCATTATACATTAAAAACCTAGATTTTGATGAGCACATCCAGGAATAATATACTTATGGTATTGGATTTTAGAATGTAACTCAGACTCACATATTCTGCCAGTTGCAAAGACCTGCCCTCCAGCTTGCATTTTTCCTCTTCATCAGTACAAGGCTATCCTACAACTCCTTATTTAATGCGAGTATAAAGAGACTTTTGCTATTCCTCATTTGTCTACACAGATTTTAAATTGCTTCCTTTGTGTCTCACATGGCATGCATTGTGGTTTTGATGCATTCACCTTCAATGTTTAAGGAAGTAAATATTTATTCTCTGTAAACATAGAGATCCGGGTGCCACATTTACACATATTTCAAGCATACCATTTGCATTCCGGTTGTTTCTGGATTATCCTGAACTAAAATGTTGTTTATTCTGTAAAGAAATAGCACTTAAACTAGGGTTACACTTCACTTCAGGCATCAATCTTCTGATTTAATATCTCTTTTAGTTGCATTATTCTCAAACCAGTGGTAGTCCCACCTCCTCCTGTTGGGAAAAGTTATCTCTGGTTACATTTGGTCTTGTCAAGCGAGTCTATCTGTTCAGTGCTCCATTTCTTATCCAGGAGTCTTCCTGGAAACAACACAATGCTGGGGGCAAGGGGAGCTCTACATAACGAGTAAAGGTAAAGGTAAAGGGACCCCTGATCATTAGGTCCAGTCGTGACTGACTCTGGGGTTGCGGCGCTCAGCTCGCTTTATTGGCCGAGGGAGCCGGTGTACAGCTTCCAGGTCATGTGGCCAGCATGACTAAGCCGCTTCTGGAGAACCAGAGCAGCGCACGGAAACACTGTTTACCTTCCCACCGGAGTGGTACCTATTTATCTACTTGCACTTTGACATGCTTTCGGACTGCTAGGTTGGCAGGAGCAGGGACCGAGCAATGGGAGCTCACCCCGTCATGGGGATTCAAACCACCGACCTTCTGATTAGCAAGTCCCAGGCTATGTGGTTTAACCCACAGCACCACCCGCGTCCCCTGCATAACGAGCCTGCCATCAAATCACAGAACTGTAGAGTTGGAAGGGACCACAAGGATCATTTAGGCCATTTAGATTCCAATGCAGGAATCTCTTGCCCAAGTAAGTTTTTATCTGTGCTTTTTGCCATCCAATGGAGGCTAGTCCATTAGGCCAAGGGGAGCACTGTCCCACCAACTTCAGTGTGCTCTCAGCCAGGCTCCACCTGCCTCCCTTCTTCCTTCCAGCCCAATCAGACGGGAGGAGGATGGAAACAAAACTAGTTGTTTCTGTGGGTCTCTGTTTTTCTGTGAATTTCTGTTCTCACAGAGTTTGGTCTTCAGTGTTTGTAAATCCAATTTTCAAAAGAAAAGCAATAAAAGAGAAAGAGAAAACTACACAGAGCTGAAAGAGGAAGTAGGGAAAGCGATGTTCATCCCGCTTCCTGGTTCAGCCTTATATGCTTTCCGCAGCTTGGATCAGCATCGCAAGGGCTAGTAGTCCAAGCGTCTCTCTCCCTCTGTCTCTCTCACCTCTGTTTCTGGGATAACGCCCCCACCACCACTTCATGATGAAGGGGGTCAGTGAATGGGTGGGAGAAGGGGACTCACAGGCTTCGTGGGCAGCCAAGGAAGTATAGTGGTACCCTCAGGTTACATATGCTTCAGGTTGCAGACTCCGCTAACCCAGAAATAGTGCTTCACGTTAAGAACTTTGCTTCAGGATGAGAACAGAAATTGTGCTCCGGCAGCGCGGAGGCAGCAGGAGGCCCCATTAGCTAAAGTGGTGCTTCAGGTTAAGAACAGTTTCAGGTTAAGTACGGACCTCCGGAACGAATTAAGTACTTAACCCGAGGTACCACTGTACTCAAGAGCACCATGACACCCGCAGACGGCAACACTGGGGACCCCAGAGATGGACCAACAGCTGTTCCCTGCACAGGGGATATTTTCAGATGCATCACCCTTTCTATAGCCAGACTAAGGAAGCTTACAGTGTGTTAATCATTGTGTTCAGTTAATCACAGATTGAGATATGTACGCCGAAGTGTAATATCCTAATCCTAAACTTCAGCAATTGCAGTAACAGAGTTGCCTTTATTAAGAGAGTCCCACTTTTTCACTCTTACTGCGAGTCTTCCCTGGTCCCTTTCAAAGTCCTGTGTCAAATCTTTATCCCTTGGCTTTCGTCCTGCCTAGCTTTGTATGCAGTTCTGGCTCAGACTCAGCAACCTCATTAGCTTTCTGAAGCAGGCTCATTTTCCTTGCATAAATGCATTTTTGCTCATGTGAAGTTCTGCCTTCTACTGAATTAACAGTAAGCTGCAAAATATGATTGATTGATTGATCTATCTTTCGTAGATGTATCGGTCTTTGCATTTTAACTGTCTTCTTTTGTTAACACGCGACTTCTCTGTTAGAATATTGGTATATGTTTTGTCTTCAGCGTTGTATCGTATTATCTATTCTGCAGAAGGATATGTGGATCATAACAGCAAGGTTAAATGGAAAATTCAGATTTGTATTGCAGACTATATTATTCACTTGTTTTCGCCATCTGCCCCCTCTGGTGTCCAAATCGTTCCTGCTTGGTAAGAAAATGAGGATTCGGAGCCTTATTCAGGCAGTTTTAAAGAAACACCAGTCCATTGTCAAGCCACTGCCTTTAACTATAACATTTTTTTAAAAATAATAATAATAATATCTTTATTGTCATTGCCCCCTTCGGGGACAACGAAATTACTTGACTGCTCCATAAAAACTCTAATTAATCAATACAGTATAATACAGCAAGGGAGATTAGATGACTTTCAAAGTCCGGGCTTCCATCGGGCCGAGATCGCTCTGGAGAAGAAGCTGTTCTTAAGACGGCTCGTTCTTGTCTTCATCGTCCTGTATCTCCGTCCCGACGGCAAGAGCTCGAAGAGACAGTGACCAGGATGCGATGGATCTCCATGAAAAAAAGGGAAATAGACAGAACAC